CAGTCTCATATCACAAAACAAATCATAATCATTCCTTATATCACCGCGGGAGCCTTGCATTTAGTTTTGAACATCATTTTTTCGAAATAACTTCCCGTGTTTTAGCCCACCTTATCACACTGCGTGGCTTAAAGTAGTTCCTCTACTACCAACANTAATGATATATCCGTATATATTGACCAAATCCGAGTTAGAATCACTTACCCAAATATTTTTTCTTGAAAATCTGTCAAAAATCGCTTCTGCTCAAGCTCAAGTTCGTCAAAAATAGCAAATGGGACGAAGTTTTCTCCTTTATAATCTGCCGAGGCAGCCTTCGGAACTGGGCCTCGATCGTGGCTTCGATCATGGCCCTTGAGCCTGGGCCTCGATATAAAAAAGTCAACTCCCTGGTCAAACTTCCAAACTTAAATTCTTGTTTTAGCCATTTCAAGCCTAATTTAACTACGGACTTCCAAATAAAATTCCGAACACGCTCCTAAGTCCAAAATCACCATACGGAGCTGTTGGAATTGTCAAAATTCTATTCCGGGGTTGTTTTGACCGAAGTAAAACTTGGCCTTTTAAAGCCAACTTGAGGAACCAAATATTCCGATTTCAACCCAAACACTTCCAAATCCCGAACCAACCATCCTCGCAAGTCATAAATCATTAAAAGCACATACGGAAAGTTTTATTTTAGGGAATGAGGTTCTAAAAGTCAAAATGACCGGTTGGATCATTACACTTAGTGTAACCACAACAGAGTCTCTAGAAACTAATGCAACAATATCTGCACAAGAGACAACTCCAGGGCATTCAGCTTCAACTATTTTCTTCACATCATCAATGAATGAGAAGCCTCTGTGTTTGAATAGGGATAGCCACTTTTTCAGTCTGGTTTTTTGTGCTCGAAGTGAAATTCAGGAGCATAGATCCATCACAACCCTGTAAAATCCCAAAAGAAGATAAAAAAAAATAATTTCACTAGTTCAAGAATGGTAGTGAAGGGGAACCTTGGCGTAGCTGGTAAAGTTGTTGTCATGTGACCAAGAGGTCACGGGTTCGAGCCGTGAAAATAGTCTCTTGCAGAATGCAGGGTAAGGTTGCGTATAATAGATCGTTGTGGTCCGGCCCTTCCCCGGACCCCGCGCATAGCAGGAGCTTGGTTCACTTGGCTGCCCTTCAAGAATCGCAGTAACTATTGAGTGAATATAAAGCCTGCATAAATGTGAAACACTTACCTTTACAAAACAATCGTGAAATTGCAGTCTGAGCAAGGCTGCTGCAAGAGATGGAGTATTTGGGATGTGCTTTTGGACATAATCTTGAATTATCTTCTCTGCTTTTGGACAGCTCTTTGCATAAAAGTTGAGCTGTAACTAAGCATGGCAAGAACCAACTATTCCTAGTAGAATACATAACACTAGAAAATTACCCAAATAGCCAAATTTAGCCATTTTAATTATAAGTTTTTTTGCAACTTTGATTTGAAAGATGTCTCTCTTTCTTTGTTCGAGTTGCTACACACACATCTAATCCAAACGGATTGCAGAGAATTTATAGGCACATTGCTTTAGCTAACTTGCGTTAGTTTGTCATTTTCCATCTTTTTTATTACATAAGAAAATTGATTTGTTATTGTATGTCTCTTTCATATAGTTAGATTCAAATGTCATGATCATACTAACCAACCTCTCATATATATTAGACAGTAAGTAGACACTTAAACTAATATTCTTTTGCAAAAACTCTGATAATAATCATGGATATTAGTACCTGCTACTGGAGATACAACTACCTTCGTAATGGTGCATGGGAGTTCCAAGTTCTTATGATAATAGGTAGTAATACCTGCTACAATATTTGACATATATACAAGTTGATACCTATTCATATTCTAGTCAGGGGCGGAGTTAGAAGCAGGTTCGACTGAATCCAAGCTTTGCTGTAATAACATATTTGTGTTAAGAACATTTATACCAGTTGATACCTATTCATAGGGGTGTCAAACGGGCGGGTCGGATATGAGCGTGTCGAAAACGTATAAATTATCCGACCCGACCCATATTTAATACGGATAAAAAACAGGTTTACCCGACGGATAATATGGATATCCATATTATCAATGGCTTCTTGAATATGATTACCTTTGGTAGAATTTCTAGTCTCTTAAATATAAAAGTTAAACCCATTAATTATCCATTTGGTTATCCATTTTTTAAGTAGATAATATGCTTCTTATCCATATTTGACCCGTTTTGAAAAAGTTCATTATCCAACCCAGTGGCGGACCCAGGATTTTTATCAAGCGGGTTTAAAATACGAAGAAGCAAATATATAAAGAGGTCAACAAAAAAAATATATTAATAAAATATATTATTACAACTGTCCTCTATGAGTTTTCATTTCCTGAAACGTATTCATAATAGTCTCATCAGAAATGGTATTAAATATTTTTCTTTCTACATAAGGTACCAAACAACTGCTCATGAATTCGTCATTCATTTGGTTTCGCAATTCACTCTTGATCAACTTCATCGCCGAAAAAGTTCTTTCAACGGTAGCAGTGGCAACAGGTAGAAGCAAAGCAAATTTCACAAGGCGAAACACAAATGGATAATTCAAATGCTTCTTTGTCTTAACTAGTGTTTCAAAAAGATTAACAAGTCCTTGTAGATTTGAGAACTTTTTATCAACATCACGAACATCAACAATATAAGTTTCAAGCTGATTCTTGAGTGTAACCGTTATATTCTCAGAAAAATCATCAGGATATAATTCAGCCATCCTCAATATCTTGTTTATGTCAAAACTGGAAAATGAGTCAACTCGATTTAAACAAGCTACTCCAACAAGCAAGTTCGTTGTCACCTCATTAAAACGAGCATTGAGTTCTTGAACTTGCCAATCAATAATCTTAAAAAATATATCAACACGATAGTGATGTAAAATAGTATAATCAGCAACTTTACGTCGAGATCTTCCAGAGTTAACATAGAAGTCATCAAAGTTTGGTATCAAAATATTATACTTGACACAAAAGGCAGATACCTTATCAATAAGTGAATCCCATTCTTCTTCTCTTAGCTTTTGCAACCGTCTCTTTGCCACTTCAACAAGTAGAATAGCATTTTCAATATTTTGCTCCTTTTTTTGTAAGGATGTATTAAGCTCATTTGTGATCCCCAAAACATCTCTCATTAGGTGCAACATGAAAGCAACCTCAAATGTTTGACAACTGCTAAGATATCCCTTTGCCTTAGCTCTTTCTTCTAAAGTCCGGGCATCAACAACAATAGTATCAAGAACATCAATAATTGAGCCAAACATAGAAATAAAGTTCTTAAAAGATTTGTAGTGCGAATCCCAACAAGTATCTGCGGCTCTAGCAAGACCAAGTTCTTGATTCAAACCCCTACCAGTTTCAAGTTCACCCATGTCTAATGCCTCTTGAACTTTTTCTGCTTGAGATTCTCGAAGATCATCCATACGTTTAAAAGAACCTCCCACTATATTCAATATATTAGAAACCAACAATACAAGTTCTCCCACTTCAAGACACTTTTTGGATACCGCAACAAGAGTCAATTGAAGTTGGTGTGCAAAACAATGAATGGAATAAGCAGATTTACTTTCTTGTTGAATCAAAGTTTTGAGGCCACGTAAATCCCCTTGCATGTTGCTTGCTCCATCATAGCACTGTCCACGCACATAAGATAAACTCAAAGAATGTTGAGCAAGGTAATCAAAAATTGCTTTCTTTAAACACAAAGAAGTAGTATTACGAACATGAACGATCCCAATAAAATGCTCCCCCACAGATCCGCATCTATTAACAAATCGCATGATAATAGCTAATTGCTATTTGCGTGATACATCACATGATTCATCAACTAGCAATGCAAAAAAGTCTCCATTTAGATCGTCCATAATTGCTTTAACTGTTTCAATTTTACATGCAATGATAATGTCTTTCTGAATTTTATGAGAAGTCAACTGATCATTCTTTGGAGCCTTTTTCAACACAAGATCACGAATTTTATCGCACCTCTCTACATACCAAGAAAGAATATCAAGAAAGTTACCCTTGTTTAATGATGATTCATCTTCACGATGTCCACGGAATGCCAATCCTTGATTCAATAGGAGTCTCACCACCTCAATTGAAGACTTCAAGCGAATTTTGTATTCGAGCTTGGTTTGAGTGGATTACCTATCAAATGAAGTTTGAATTGACTGTTTTTGTTTTAATAGATCTTCACATTTCCTTTTTGCCTGATTATGAATACTGCTCGACTCATGCATATCTAATCTGTTCTTTTTGTGCCAGCTCTTAAATCCTAAACTTGAAAATACATCACCTCCACCTTGATGAATGCCTTCATCTTGAAATAAGTAACAATACAAACAGTAAGCTGCATCTTCTATCACACTATACTCCAACCAATTATGATATCCTTTAAACCATTTAGGATTGAAATGACGCTTTAAGCCCGAAAAATCTCTTTGAGGAAACTTATGATATCGGGGTTGGCAAGGACCTCTTCGGAGGTATTCTCTTCTAATCTCATCATGCTCATTTGGATGAAAGTCTCTAATGGGTAATCTCTCCTTTGGATCAGTCTTTAAAGAATCGAGATCTATTCCTTGTCTTTGTTTTTTAGAGGATTGAGGTTGTTCTACTAATTGGTTCAAATTTTCTTCCACGGGAGTAACAATTAGAGAGGATGAACTTGATTGTGGCAACTTGGAAGATACCGGAGGATAAAATCTCTTCATTGTAACATAAACTGGATTACCAAATTAGAATTCGAATTAGAAGAATAATTTAATTAAACTTAAATTTAAACTAACTTTTATTCATTCTTCACCAATAATTTAATTTTCTTTTATTTTACATATCATTATATTATAAAATAGTTAGATGAGATTTTAATCATCATTAAATAGCTTTGGACCACAACTTTGAAAGTTCAAAATGTCTTTACAAGAGTTATTATTTTCATCATAATTTTTCTTGAAGCAACAAAGAGAACAAATAAAAAAATCAGCAATGTAAATTCTAGTGATGGGCAAGTATTTTAAAGCAGATTATTTATATCATGGAATAATTGAGTTAATTGAAAGGAACACCTATATAATGCAGTTAGCCAAACACATATAAATAATACACTCATACACTTAGAAAATAAAATTAATCTGAATCTAATGTGTTATAGTCAATTAGTCATCCCTAAATCACTTAATGATAATTGATAAGATAGACCTAATTTATATGTACAAGAAAAAAAATTAGAAATCGGAGAGAAACCTGAAGGTGATAGTTGATGGTCAGAGAGTGAGAGGCTAATGGCAGGAGACAGCTATGGAAGGAAGCAATATGACCTTGAAATTGAACTAAAAGATTCAGTAGAGAGAGAGAGAAAAGGGAAGGGAGAGAGAGAGAGAGACAACAAGCATTTTTTATGAAATATGCAGAGAAATAGAGAAGGGTTTCGGAATTGGGGCTGTTAGTTTGGGAATGGGTTGGGTCACTGTATTTTAGACATAAACGACGTCGTATTTAAATAGGAAATACGTATTAAAACAAAATAATTCTGACAGGTTTCGAACTCAAGACCTTCGGAAAAATTTGAACCCACTTTGCCAACAGGCTATTCGTCATCAATGTTTTAAGAGGGGTCAAAGTAATTTTTTCTTAGAAATATAAAATATACTTATATATACAGTATTATTTTTCGATGAAGCGGGTTCATTTGAACCCTCTTGACCCTACGTGGGTCCTCCCCTGATTCAACCCATTTTTTAATGGATAATATGGGTGGATAACTATTTTCTTTTAACCATTTTGCCACCTCTATGGAAAAATGGTTAAAAAAAATAGTTATCCACTAATTAAAAAATATGTTGGATAATGAACTTTTTAAAAACTGGTCAAATATGGATAAGAACCATATTATCTATTTTCTAAATGGATAACCAACGGATAAATAATGTGTTTAACTTGTAAAAATTGCATTGGGCGCCCTATTTGGTCGCCCTTTTTAACTTACCCGTTTTGTTTTTCCATTTGCATCCATACCCATTTTTTTGTTAAAAGCATTTTAAAAGGACGATTTTGTCCTTCTTTAATAAAAGACTATTGACAAAACTGTAGACTGCAAGGCAAAATTTCAGCATGTTTTGGTATAAAGTTTTAGCAAATGAACTAAATAACTTTAGCATGCATTAAAAAAACTAATTAGAAAATTACATACTGCAAGACAAAAACTTACGCATATTTAGTGTGAAGTTTTAGCAAATGAACTATAAACCTTTAGCTTTTTTAGACTGAAGTTTCGGATAAAACTCATGACAAAACTGTAGACTGCATGATAAAACTTCAAGCATGTTTTGGTACGAAATTTTGGCAAATGAACTAAATAACTTCAGCATGCATTAGCAAAAAGTCATTAGAAAATTACATACTGCAAGACAAAAACTTAAGCATGTTTAGTCTGAAGTTTTAGCAAATGAACTAAAAACTTAAGCATGTTTAGTCTGAAGTTTTAGCAAATGAACTAAAAACTTAAGCATGTTTAGTCTAAAGTTTTAGCGAATAAACTAAAAAACTTAAGCATGTTTAGTCTGAAATTTTAGCAAATGAACTAAATAACTTAAGCATGTTTAGTCTGAAGTTTTAGCAAATGAACTAAAGAACTTAAGCATGTTTAGTCTGAAATTTTAGCAAATGAACTAAATAACTTAAGCATGTTTAGTCTGAAGATTAAGCAAATGAACTAAAAAACTTAAGCATGTTTAGTCTGAAGTTTAAGCAAATGAACTAAAAAACTTAAGCATGTTTAGTCTGAAGTTTAAGCAAATGAACTAAAAAACTTAAGCATGTTTAGTCTGAAGTTTAAGCAAATGAACTAAAAAACTTAAGCATGTTTAGTCTGAAGTTTAAGCAAATGAACTAAAAAACTTAAGCATGTTTAGTCTGAAGTTTAAGCAAATGAACTAAAAAACTTAAGCATGTTTAGTCTGAAGTTTAAGCAAATGAACTAAAAAACTTAAGCATGTTTAGTCTGAAGTTTTAGCAAATGAACTAAAGAACTTAAGCATGTTTAGTCTGAAATTTTAGCAAATGAACTAAATAACTTCAGCATGTTTAGACTGAAGTTGCGGATAAAAAGCATAACAAAACTGTAGACTGCGGGATAAATAACTTCAGCATGCATTAGCATGAAGTTTTAGCTTCAAGGTGAAACAACTTCATGCAAGTATGATTCTGAAGATGAATCTAGACAAGCTTATGATTTTTTGATAAAGCTGCTGAGAGGAGAGGAGGAGAGCTTTTTTCACGAATGAGGTAGCAGATCACGCGATTAATGCGTGATGCAGGTTTTATATCTTTTGTCAGAGGTGTAATTGTCATATTATTATAGATTTTTTGTCAGCTGGCTACCAAATCAATAACTTTTAAAAATAGGGTACAAGTTAAAAGATGGCACAAATATAGGGTACGTCTGCAAATCACCCCTTTAACTTTTACATTTGTAAAACCTCAAATTGGGGGTTTCTCAAGTTTGGGAGACTATAAATTCTCCCAAAAGTGATCATATTAAAGAAGTTATGGATAATATTAATATACATATTATCCGCAGTTAATTCATTTTTTATTCGAATTAAACATGGGTCGGGACGGATAATTTATCTATTTTTTACGTTACTCGCCTTCGACCCGCTCATATCCGACCCAACCCTCCCCTTTGCCACCCCTGCATGTAGTTGTATACCGTCAACAAATAAGTTTGACATTGTTTAATCAGTAGGTAACTTCAAATTTGGCTAGTATATCAACCTTCTCAGAGTGTTTTTACGGTGTGCCTCACACAACTGACATTAGTTGTTTGAAACTTCTTTTTATCTCACACATTTGTGGACTCACATCTTACACATCTGGGTCCACAAAATTCTGAGACCACAAAATTGTGAGACCAAAATGAGGCCTCATACAACTAGTGTCAGTTGTGTGAGGCACAAAATAAAAAAATTCACCTTCTCATACTAATAAGACTAAGAAAAGAGGTACAATAATTTCTTTACCAAGTGGTTAATTGCAATAGATAAAACCTGCCTTAGCTGATTAGCCCGTATCACCAATCAAGAAGTGAATAAATTAATAAATGATAACATTGACAAGCAAAAATACCATAGCTGATAGTCCAAATCACCAAGCAAGAAGTGTTGGGATTGAAGGTTGGTAAATGAAAAATGGAGGGAAGAAATGTAAAGGGAAAGTGAGCTCCCTTATACTTTGGAAAGAGCAATTGTTTCTCAATGATGGTGGAAAGAAAAGGGAATGTGCGTATATTGAGAAAGCGCTTCCCTTGGTGTTAAATGGGTTGGAAAGAAGGTAAGCCTCCTGCCGCTGTCGTCGTTCGCTCGGCTTAATTACCAGGACCTGCGCGCAATGTGACCCGGTCCATTTCTTTCCCGAATTATTTTTTAAATTCTTTTCCCAGAATATTTTGAACGTTTTGCAAACTTTTCAAAAATAGTGCCAGAAAATGGCTATAAATATGCCTTGATCGCACAATTTTTCCTTACGAAATTTCTGAACTTCTTCTCTTTCTTCCGCACAAATAAATTCCAGTGTGATTTTCAGCCATTAAGTGGTTCGCTATTCACCGGCGTTTTTGGTACCGATACTATGGTGAGTTAAATCATTCTGTACTGGGAGGATAATATTCCAATACCTCGGGTACTTGAGTGGAATAATTTCCTTAAGGACACACTATGCATTCAGTGGGCTCGATTTTATTCCGAAATATATTTTCAGATTCTGTTTCTGATCATTTACATTTCTGCTTTACTACTCTATTTCATGTTTCTATTTTTGTTACAGAAAATTTATTGTTTCAAAATATATTTTAGAAATATAGATTAATAACAAGAAGTGTATAGATTAATGACTACATAAATTGTAAACATGCCAAGGGAAAGTAATGGAAGATGAGAATGTAGCTAATTCTATTTGTATCCCCCATTCCTGGAAATTATTCAGCATGATCAATGAGAAGATGGATGACTTTACTCGGGAGCTAAAAATGAACTGACCCTTTCAAGCCTATGAAAGATATATTTATCCCAATTTCTAACTTCTATAAAAAGCGGCTCTTGGAATCTTAGTTTTATTTCAAGAAAACCACCAATATACAAGAATAAATGGGAAAAGTACATCAGAAAACATGATACACGCAATGCTTCCTAATCTCACCAAGGTTACACACAAATACAAACACAACAATATTGGAAATTGGGAACAAACACAAAGACTACACTTAACTATTCACAAATGCACATTGTGTCACGACCCAAAATCTGTTAAAGATCATGATGGCGCCGGACACCGCTGTCAGGCAAGCCAATACTAAATAGTTAATTAAATTCTCATTTTAATATTTTTGAAATCGTAAATTTACTTCAATTTTTCTAGTAAAAGATGAATTTACAGAATAAATAACAATGTTTTCCAATTTCAATACTGAACATCCCATAATCATCCCAGAACCCGGTGTCACAAGTACATGAGCATTTTATAGGAATTTAAAATAAAATACAATAACTGTCCGAAATACAAATTTTGACGGCAAAGAAAATACAATACTCAGAAGGAGACTCTGCTGGCTGCGGATCGTAGTAGAGAGTGCAGCTCACCTAAGTCCCCGCAATAACCGCACCTCTGCACCCACAAGGCCTCTAGACATATATGTACCTGCACAAAAATGTGCAGC